ACGAAGAGGCAGTGAGGGATGACCTGAGACGAAGTAAGTAAACTTTCATGTTATGGTGTAAGGCACGCGTTGTGAAAGTAAAATGTTGATAATTGTGACACAAGTGGTTCTATATTGCATATTATAATTCTTGCAGAGTTGCACGACATGTGATGTCAGGTCAGCAGTGTTTGTATTGTATTTTAAATATGCTGCTCAGAGACATGCGCCTCATCTGATTCCGTTTCATCTGGAAGGACTCGAAAATCAACCATGGTACAGGTGCAATCACTGCTGCCTTGTCTTCTTTTTTTTTTTCTCGATTACTCGATTGATCGATCGGTGTATTCGACAGAATAATCGATTTCCAAAATATTTGATAGCTGCAGCTTTACTCAGAGTAAAGCCCCTGCTCCACCGCACCAAGATGTACCAGTTGAGGTGTTTTGGATGCCTCCCCCACATTTGACCGGCAAAACTGCAGCTATTTTCTTGTTCATCAAGTGCTTTGTGTGCCCTCAAATTTATGAAATGTGCTACATAAATAAAGATGACTTACTTACACATAAACGCTTGGATAGAACCAAAAATGGGACCAAACTCAAGGAGGGATTATCGCTGTGTTTTAGGTTCAATGATCATAATGAATGAAATGATAAACAACTGGAGGATTGGAACTACACTCTTGTTAAATGTACTGAGATTATTTATGATTTTAGACTCCTTTATTTTAATGTTTCTTCTCTTGTGTTGCCGAACTTTCCGTGTGTATAAACTGTGCTATACAAGAAAATCAGATTTAAAATGATGTATAATTAGGCCTCAGTAGCCCATACAAACTTCTTAGTCTCAGTATTTTCCGTATTTTCATGTCTGGTCCAGTGTTTGGACAGAGCACAAAGTCTGATGACAGTTAGAACATGCAAATACCGTGAAACATCCGGGTTGGGCCCAAAGCAATGAGTCAACTTCCTCTGCATCAACAACCACAGTCCTCCAATAGATGTGTGAGCAGAGACTGTATAAAGATGGACAGAATGCCAACGCAAAAAAAGCTCAAGGAATTCTACTAGAGAGGTGCTCATGAACAAAGTTTGGCTCCAACTCGCTGACTCCTAATGACACGTGGAAAAGTGAACTCCTCGAGCTCAGTCACCCTTCTGGTCTCTCTCTCTCTGGTCATATAAATACATTAAATATCAGAATCAGAATCAGAATCATTTTTATTGCCACGTAAGTAACAGGAGGTCACAGACTAGGAAATTGCTTTGGCTCAGTGCAACAGTCAAAAAGAGATAATAAAAATAAGAATAAAAAACACTTCTAAAGAATAAATTTGAATTTAAAATAGAGTTACAGTTACTATTTACAATATACAAGTGCACATGGTGCACACAATGTAAGGTGACAGCAGTACAGTGAAGTAAAGTAACGTATGATGGGCAGTAAAGTGACTTTATAAAGGGCGGGGGGACAGGTTAAGAAGTGTTCAAGAGTCCAACAGCAGAGGGGAAGAAACTGTTCTTGTGGCGGGAGGTTCTAGTCCTGATGGACCGCAATCTCCTGCCTGAGGGGAGTGGTTGGAATAGTCCATGTGCAGGGTGAGAGGGGTCGGCTGTGATACAACCAGCCCGGCCTCGAGCTCGGGCGACGTACAGGTCCTGCAGCGATGGAAGGCTGCGGCCGATCACTTCCTCTGCAGAGCGCACAATGCGCTGTAGTCTCTGTTTGTCCCTGACTGTGGCTCCAGCGAACCACACGGTGATGGAGGAGGTGAGGATGGACTCGATGATGGCCGTGTAGAACTGCACCAACATCTGTGCAGGCAGCTTGGCTTTCCTGAGCTGCCGCAGGAAGTACATCCTCTGCTGGGCTTTCTTGATGAGGGAGCTGATGGTCGGCTCCCACTTGAGGTCCTGGGTGATGGTGGTGCCCAGGAAACGGAAGGACTCCACAGAGGTGATGGGGGAGTCCATCAGGGAGGGTGGGGGTGGGGGGACAGTGCTCTTCCTGAAGTCCACAATCATCTCCACTGTCTTCTGGGCGTTCAGCTCCAGGTTGTTACCACTGCACCAGGACACCAGCCGGTCCACCTCCCTCCTGTAGGCGGACTCATCGTTGTTGGAGATGAGTCCAATGAGGGTGGTGTCGTCCGCGAACTTGATCAGCTTCACGGAGTCGTGGCTGGAGGTGCAGTGGTTGGTGTACAGGGAGAAGAGCAGGGGAGAAAGAACACAGCCCTGTGGGGCTCCTGTATTTATAATCCGAGAGTCCGAGACATTCTTCCCCAGACGCACTCGCTGCTTCCTGTCCGTCAGGAAGTCAGTGATCCACCTGCAGGTGGAATCGGGCACGTTGAGCTGGGAGAGCTTGTCCTGGAGCAGGGATGGCAGGATTGTGTTGAAGGCAGAGCTGAAGTCCACGAACAGGACCCTGGCGTAGGTCCCCGGGGAGTCCAGGTGCTGTAGGATGTGGTGGAGGGCCAGGTTAATGGCGTCGTCTACAGATCTGTTGGCTCTGTAGGCAAACTGCAGGGGGTCCAGGAGGGGGGAGGTGAGGGACTTGAGATGGGAGAGAACCAGGCGTTCAAATGACTTCATGACTACAGACGTAAGTGCTACAGGTCTGTAGTCATTGAGTCCTGTGATCAAACCAATCTTTAACACACTGACAAATAAAATAAAAACCCTTCTGAATGTAAGTTTAGAATCTACATGAATCAGACAGGACGGTTGAGATAACAGAGAGAGAGACAAACAGAGAAAGACAGAGACAGAGGGGGAGAGAAACAGACATAGAAACAGACAAAGAGAGAGAGAGACAAACCGAGAGGGAGATACAGACAGAAAGAGAGAAAGAGACAGACAGACACAGACAGAGACAGAGAGAGACAGAAAGAGAAAGACAAAGACAGAGGGAGAGAGAAACAGACAGAGAGACAGATAGACAGACATAGAAATAGACAGAGAGAGAGACAGAGGGAGACAGAGACATACAGAGAGACAGAGAAAGACAGACAGAGAGAGACAGAGACAAACAGAGAGAGAGACAGACAGACATAGTTACCAAGAGAGAGAGAGAGAGACAGACAGAGAGATACAGAGAAAGAAAGAGAGAGAGAGACAGGAAGGGAGAGGGATGACAGTTCAGGTCAGCCTCCTGCTGTCTAGTAAGAGGCAGAGTAGATCCAAATACAGCTGCATCTATGACGTCTAGTAATGTCTCCTCTTGAAACCCTCCCCTTTAATCCTCCAGACACAGCATTATCCATCGCCTCTAAACACTCATTTATCCCTCGTCACTGACACCACTTGTGCCGACTCGACTGCAGTTTGGAAATGTTCAGTGGCAGCAAGTTTCTACACGATACCCACATCATCACGCAGCAAAAACACACGCGGTTTTATGACGACATCCATGACAACGACTATTATCTTAATGAGAGGTTGGAATAATAGTAGTGAGAGTTCCCAAAGTATTTGGACCAAAAAATGAGGTGCTTTAATCTCACTCCTTTTATAAAAATCCTGTGGTTAAATGAGTTTCTGGTCTAAAAAGACATAGGACGAGGAGCTAAGTGGCAAAGTAGGAGCTCGGAGTGAAGCCACTGCTCCTCCACATTGAGAGGAGGCAGCTGAGAGGGTGAGAGCAGCGTCTATTAAGGACATCAACAGTTTCTGCAACGTTTAAACTGTTTAGACTTTAGCACAAACTGAATAACTATTGATAATAATAGCTACTAATATAGATATGTTTCCATCCGTCATCTGTCACAGTAGCTTTACATGTTCATGAGTCTGAAGTGGTCTTGGATTGACCCTTGAGAGTAGAAAGGGGAATATAGAAGTAGGGAAAGTGTAGTTTAGGAATATTTATTGGTAAGGGAAACCAGAGCACTCGGAGAAAACCTCCCAGCTCTATTAGTGACACAATCAAAAACTAATGTCATATACATGTATAATTTACAAATAAAGTGAAAGGTTGAATACCAGAGGTTCTAATTTGTGAGGCACAACTTTGAAATAAAACTAAAAGTTCAATTTGAGTTGTTTTGGATCAACACTCAAGAGTAAAAGCCAAGTATCTACAGCTGTCGCCAACAGGAAGGACCCCCATAGACACACAAGGAACAGCCAATTATTTAAACTATTAAAACACACTAATAGTAGTAGTAGTTATAGTCGCAGTTCACAGCAGAAAGTGGCAAAAAATATGCTGACATTTGGATTACATTCTGACTGAGCCTTATAACAAGATTCTCCAATGGGATAAAACAAAATGGTGTTGTTTTAAAAAGAAATATCTCTTTTAGAATGAGAAAATAAAGCAACAGTTCTTGAAATAAGAATGAATGTCTTTGTCCCATTGGAGAATCATGTTCGAACACAGAATGTGTCAGATTAAGATACAAAAAACAGTAGATTCAAGCATTTATGTTTATACCTCATATTTTATCATTTTTTGCAGTGTTTTATTAGTAGTAGTAGCAGTAGCAGTAGTAGTAGCAGAAGTAGTAGTGGTAGCAGCAGTAGTAGTAGCAGCAGTAACAGCAGTAGTAGTAGTAGCAACAGTAGTAGTAGTAGCAGCAGTATTCATAGTAGCAGCAGCAGTAGTAGTAGTAGTAGCAGTATCAGTAGCAGCAGTAGTAGTAGTGATATCAACCTGCCATGGGACTACGGAAGAAAATCAGCCTACATGGTTAACTCTGGCACATTTACATGTTGGAAAAACACATGTTTATTAATGTGCACTGTAACAATTCAAATAAATATTTACTTGTAGCAGAAGTAGTGTTTTCTATCGATCTCATCTAATATATTGTTATTCCGGAAATAATGACTGAATATTGTATATACATTTCCCTTTTAAATTAAACTAAATAATATTCCATTTGAGTCGTTTTGGATCCATCCACATGTCTCTACAGCTGTCTCCAACTCATGACAGGAAGGACCCCCACAGACGTGCAAGGAACAGCCATATATCTCCAACTTTTTGAGTCAAGTTACGTGAGTTCTTACCTCTCTTGCGATCAGATTGAGGGCATCGTCTTCTGCCGTGGTCCTGTCCTTATTAGTGGACCTCTTCCTCCCTGCGCCCTGGGTCCCCATGCTTTGAGGAGAGAATAGAAATAGTGCGTAATGTGACTCAACCAAACAAGCGTCAATGGATCCACGCGTGAGTGTTAAAAAAAAACAAAAAAACAGGGTATTTTAGTTGAATCAATCGAGTTTCGGTGCCATTTCAAAGTCGTGGGTTCTCATTCACAGCACGGGTCATTGTCACACATCCGCTTTTGCCTTCTTCCTGCGTCAAGTTGTGTTAAACTAAAAAAAAAAAATAAAAAAAAAAATAAAAAAACACGTGCTAAGTTTCCTGAAGTCAAGACGCGAGAGTTTCTGTGTCCATGCTGTGTGGGAAAAAAGGGGTTTTAGGAGACGATTTGAGCAGAAATAGAGAAGTAGAATCCGACGGGAGCAGCAGGGGGTCTGGGTCTGAACAGCTGCACGTTTGGCCGCTGCACTGAGCTGGAGCCGTCACCGCGAAGAACAGGGAGGAGGCGTTCAGGGCCCGTGGGAAAAAAACACACACACATGTCAAGGTTAACGCTGTAGGTATGGACCGTGCGCACCAGAATTCTGAAACTACAAGAATTCCCAAAATACGTTGCATTCTGATGATCCCCCCCCCCCCCCCCCCCCGAAAAAGAATGAGTTTTCTATTCATATATATGGGTTATAGAAGGAAAAATAAACGTGCTAAAACTGATTCATATGATTTGAAATACGGCAAAAAGAAAGTGGCAAGGGGGCAGTGTGTTTCCATGGTAACTAGCACTAGCATTTCGTATGTATGCTCAGTCTTCCTGAAAATGTGAGACAGGCGTCTTCTCTGAATATGTTCAAAACCAGGTTGAAACATTTCTTTTTAGCTGCAATTTTATCTTCACTTTTGTTTAATGTACGGGGATTTTTATTTATTTTAATCCTTGTTTCTATCTTTTTTTGTTCAGCACTTCTTATAAATTGTGCTATCTGTGTGCCAATGTATCTTTGGGCCTCTATCACATTTTTGGGTCAGCTTTTTCAGACAAAAAAGAGACCACTCTTACTGCAGCCAATCAGTTCGTATCAGGACTCTTTCTTACAAGTCTGCAAAAAAAGAGAAGCCAATTACATGAAGTCACCACATTGTGGTTTGATTTGTTCACAAGCGTGTGCTTTTACATAGAACATTTGATACTTTAGAAATGTACATCACATAGACCGGATGACCACTGTCCATAAATGTCCTTCAATATTAATAAATATCCATAATTACGTCATATTTGACATAGACATTGCTTTGTTTATATTTTCAGTCATATATGACCCAATGTTTCACTGTCCATTTGAACTGTTTTGCTTTTAACTGTGTACGCTTTTTAAGGCTACATTGAGTACTTAGAAAGGCCCCATATGAATAAAATGTATTAAAATTATTGTTATTATTATTGTTATTATTATTATATTTACTGAGGGCACGTGGACGCAGCCCTGCTCCTGTTTCAGCCGCAGCTCCTCTGCTCCTCGTCTCTATTTATAAAAGAGATGGAGGTTTGTAAAACAGGCTGCTCTCTTAAAGCGACAGGACAGAAACATTTCAATCTATATGAAGCGACCAAGACAACTAATTGTCGACTAAAGACACGGCCAGTCGATTGGTTAGTCGACTTAAACAGGGGGGTGGCAAAGCTCTCAAGATGGTAGTTTGATGTATTTGACCTAAGCTGAAATAAAACATGTATTACACTGGGACTCAGGATTTTGAAAATGCTCCAATCAAACCAACACTGAGGAATTTCCCTATTTTTGTTTTAGTTTTACACTAAATATGTTAAAACTTAGTAATTAATAAGGTTCTTTAATGTTAAATTTTTAATTAAAGCAAAAACAGTTGGTTGAAACCCAGTCCAAGACCAGTCCAAGACCAGTCCAAGACAGCACCATGAAAAACGAGGCTTTAACAGCCATAGAATGTTGGCTGCCATTTTGCCAAGTAACCAAAGAACATAGAAACAGAGAAAGTCACAAAATTATGAAGATCAAACATGTACAAAAGTTGAGTAATAAAACATCCAAATCTAAGAGCAGTCAATTTGACTGCTCTGGGAGCTTTAGTGTTAATAAGACTGGATCTTAGCACGTGCTGGGTCTGTCTGGACTTATCAAAAAAAATACCAACATATCCAGCTAATTTGGAAAATCTATTTTTCTCCCATATGAGTCCTTGCAATTTAATAAAACAATATATACATAGTTAAATATTGACAGATCAATCAAACTAATACAGCCCCCCACAGTTATTGTGGTGACACTGATGTTGGTGTCTGTACTTGCAGGTCAGATCAAACAGATTTGTTGTCTATTTAAGTTCAGGAAAAGCAAAAGACTGTTTTATATATTTATTTTTCTAGAGCTGGAGCTATGGTAATTTGAGCTCAGTGCTGCCTCCCTGTGTCCATCTTGCAGATTACACTGCAAGTCACTCACTCAGAACTGTTTAGAATAGTAGTTCTTGTAGCAGCAAAACTGTATTTCCAACTTCACTCATGACCAGGACTAGACTTTTGTGAACACAATATAAGCAGATCTTCAAAAAACATGACATAATAATATTTACAATCATATATCAAGAGAAAACTTCTTGTTTTATTAAGTATTCATCCATCCATTTTCTTCTGCTTTATCCATTGCCAGGTCGCAGAGGCAGCAGTCCACGCAGAGACGCTCAGACTTCCCTTTCCGCACACGTCCTCCAGCTTATCTGGGGGAATCCTGAAGCGTTCCCAGGCCATCTGAGAGACAGTCCCCCCAACATGTCCCGCGGCCTCTTCCTGGTTGAAGAATTACCAAGAAATATTCAAATCCTATGTAATAAAAAAGAAGGAACTTTGTTTTGTATGAGTCAGTGGCGTCAAACTATGGAATAATAATGAAAGAGGAACTCCATGTTGCTCAAAATGTTGCAATTTAAGAATTCATTAAAAACCCCAACAAGAAAGAAAAAAATAAATAAGTCAATGTAGCACCAAATGACAGTGGTTGACATTGCCTAAGCTGGTTTAACTGGTCCACACAAATAATTACATGTCATTGGTTCCTTCATTATGACAGTGGTTTAAGGTTTAAAGTCTAAACGAGGAAGTGAAACCATAACTGTTTTTACTGACTGAACTTTGATCACATTAATTCTCACAGTAAACGTTGAGACCAGGCTAAATGCAGACCTCCAGCTTCTCACACAGCGACGGTTGACCACTTGGATTATTTGAATGCATTTTGGGAGTTTTTTTGATGGGCTAAAATGTCCCATAATGCAGCAGGAGATGCAGGGATCAGCGCTCGGACTCTGAGGGTGAAGATGGTTCTTTTGGGCAGCTGTGGAGTGGGGAAGTCCAGCCTGGCCACTCGCTTCGTCAAAGGAGAATTTGTGAATATTCAACAAACTGTGGGCTGTAAGCGGCCATTTTACATTTATATACAATTATATGTGTGTGTGTGTGTCGTAAGATAAAGTCACACAAAGACACAATTTTTGTCCTGTGACCTGTGAAGAGAGAGCAAACAGAGAGGCATCAGAGAGAGCAAGAGACCAGAGGGAGAGACCAGAGAGAGAGAGAGAGTGGGCAGAGAGATATCAGAGAGAGCAAGAGACCAGAGAGACATAGAGAGACTAGAGGGAGAGAGAGACCATAGAGTGACCAGAGAGAGACCAGAGAAAGAAAATGGAGAGAAAGAGAGACCATAGAGTGACCAGAGAGAGAAAGAGAGCAGTGAGACAACAGAGACCGACCAGTGAGACACCAGAGAGAGACCAGTGAGACACCAGAGAGAGACCAGTGAGAGACCAGTGAGACACCAGAGAGAAAACAGTGATACAGCAGCAGATTTATGGCAGAGAAAATCTCTTGCTTGTTTCCTCTTTAAATTTTATGAAGTTTGTGTGGTTTGAGTTTTGAATTCAACTTAATTTGATCTATTCCTGTTTCGCCCTAAATCTGTAGTTATCTCTGAATAAACTCTTTATTCACCAACACAGATCAGAGAATAAGTTCGTAAATGTCCATAAGTTTTAGTGACATTATACATTTAAATTGAATTAAATTACATTTTATACATACTTAGGACTTTCATTGCCTTTCTGCGGGACATCGGAATGAAAACAATTACAAGTTTTAGAGGCTGTGAAACTCATTTTGAAATTTGAATATCTCTGAACTACTGTTATCAGTTAAAGAAGTTTTGGAAAAGAGCATGTTTTATTATTATGACAGATTAGGGCCCTTCAAGGATGACTTGACTTGAAAATCGTACATATTGCTACTTTAAATCTATACTTTATGATAAAAATGTAGCTTAAATATCAGTACAGTGACTGGATCGGGCTGTGATTTAGCTAGAATCCATGCAATATTCCACCTCCAGACATGGCCTTTTCTATATGGAGTTTGCATGTTCTCCCCGTATAGGTTTCCTCCTGGTGCTCCAGTTTCCCCTACCACTAAAAACATAAACAATAGCTTCCATCTCTGTGTAAAGATCTTTGTCTGAGGCCTGGTCTGAGAAAGGCACTATGTAAATAAAGAGGATTTTCTTTGTGACTTCCTGTTCTGATGGTCAGGTGCCTATCACAGCCACGTGGTGAGTGTGAACGGAGTGAGTCTGAGGTTCGAGATCTGGGACACCGCGGGGCAAGAGAAGTACCACAGTGTCACTCCGCTGTACTACAGAGGGGCCCACGCTGCTCTGGTGGTCTACGACGTCAGCAACAAGGTGAGAACCTGCTCCAGACCCGGGCAAAAAGACAAATGAAGGAAAAGTGGCTGGATTCTGACTTCCCTTTAGTCATATGTTTGAGAAACTAAACTTTGTGTTGTAACATTTTGATTTCGATAATATACATTTGTGATTGAAAATGTTGACACCCAGGTATAAATCTTTTGCCGTATCGCCTCATGTTCAGAACACTGTGAAAAAGAGATGATTCCTGGTTAAATAAACGGTTTAAAAGAAAAACCACCACCAACCTTTCACACACACACCAGACTCATTCTAATGTGGGGGAAAAGGTGCATGAACGTCCTCATAGTGAGAGACCTGTAATGCATTTTAGATTCATTATTTATTATTATCTCACAGACAAAAATACCACATTAAAAGTAAATATTATTTTAATTTCAACATCTAACATAGAAAAACTTCTAACACAAACAACAGACTTTTCTTCTCAAACACAGTCATGTACTGTAGCACTGCTTTGGCCTCGATAATGAAATATATCTCAGTTTATGTTCCAGTGTTGCAGACAGATCTCTCTCTCTCGCTCTCTGTCTTGCACTCTCTCTCTCTCTGTCTTGCTCTCTCTCACTTTTTTTCTCTCTCTCTTTCTCTCTCTCTCCATGTCTTGCTCTCTCTCTCTCTATCTTGCTCTCACTCTCTCTCTCTATCTTGCTCTCACTCTTTCTCTCTATGTCTTGCTCTCTCTCTCTCTATGTCTTGCTCTCTCTCTCTCTCTATGTCTTGCTCTCTCTCTCTCTATCCTGCTCTCACTCTATCTCTCTATGTCTTGCTCTCTCTCTCTCTCTATGTCTTGCTCTCTCTCTCACTCTATGTCTTGCTCTCTCTCTCACTCTATGTCTTGCTCTCTTTCTCTCTCTAATCTAATATCTATCCATAACAGTTTGATCCCAACAGCCTGCAGCAGTGAAATGTGACTGTTTGTGCAGGAGTCGTTCAGACGTGCACAGTTCTGGCTGAAGGAGCTGGAGAAGCAGTACATCCCAGACTCCACTGTGGTTTGGCTCGTGGGCAACAAGGCAGATCTGACTCACGACCGACAAGTCTCATCACAGGTACCAATGACACAGGGACAATCGTAACCCAATGACACAATGCAACAAATGGTAAAATATGAGGTTATGTTTGCTTGAATCTAATGGTTTTTATCTTTAATCTGGGTACTTTTTTTTTCAAGATTTACAAAGGTACAAAGCTATTAATTCTATAACTGTATTTTCTCATTCCATGGGAGACATTTTGTGTTTCTTTTCTCGTGTCATAAGAATGTGGTCAAATTAAGATAAATTTAGTCAAATTTGAGCAATTCTAAAATCCCCTTTCATCACTTCCATTGGACTTGTGTTTTTAGGAGGGACAGAACCTCGCTGAAGACAGAGGATTGGGATTCATGGAAACGTCGGCTCTGTCCGGAGATCATGTCACGCAACTTCTGCAAACTATAGGTGAGAATCAAGAGAGATAATTTCTGCTGTTTCTGAAATCACACATGCTTTTTAGACTTCGTATTGATTAGGAATTCTAGCCTGGATTGTTTGTGTGATCAACATTAAAAATACGGCTGTCTTCTCTCGGCACAAACAAAAAACTGTTCGGGCCGCAAAGAATAAGCGGATTTCTGTTTGAACACCGTAAAACAGCGCTGTGTTAGAGAAAGATCAAAATATCAGGCACAAAATGCAAAATTTACAGATATAAAATACTTCTCAAAGTACTATTATAATTGTGACTTTGATTGCTCGGTTTTAGCCTTGACTTTAACTTGAAATGGCCACTACTCACTGAATGAAATCAAAAAGACAAATCATTTTCGAGTACAAGATGGAATGTAACTTGTATCTCTAATAGCCTAAACCCAGGGTAGATAATCATTACTATCTCTGCAGCCTCTAGAGGGCAGCAAACACCACGCATTGTTATATGTTAACCTGCATCCGAATTCACATCGTTTCTTTTCCTTTCTCGTCTTTGCCTCTCCTTATCATTGCCATTTCTGTTAAAAATCTCAACCCAATAAATAAAAAATAATAAAAATAATAATAAAACCATTCAAAATATCCTGCATTTCATCGGACTAAACTTGGAGCTACTTTCTTAGCAACAAGGCATATTGTTCTGAGAATTCGGACGCAGTCATGGTCTAAGTATATCTAATATGACTTTTGAATGCAGCCTACCGAGTCCATGAACTGACCTGGGACCAGTGCAGTCTGTCTGATTGGCAGGAGTTTCATCGTGAGGATCTGAAAAACCGACCATTCTTCAGCTCTTTGCCGTCGTGCTGCAACACTGGAACATAAACTAAGACATATTTTTTTAATATCAAGGCCAAAGCAGTGCTACATGACTGTGTTTGAGAAGAAAAGTCTATTTTTTGTGTTACAAGTTTTTCTATGTTAGATGTTGAAAATAATATATACTTTTAATGTGGTATTTTTTGTCTGTGAGATAATAAATAATGAATCTAAAATTCATTACAGGACATTCCACTATGAGGACATTAACACACATTTTCCCTTACATTAGAATGAGTCTGGTTGTGTGTGAATGGTAGGTTGTGGTGGGAGAGACCGATGGGACAGACTGGTTCCCTCACTTCGGTCAGTGTGCCCCAGGGCAGCAGTGGCTACCGTAGAAGTTTATTATCACTGTGTTTGTAGTGAATGAATAATGCCATGTGAATAGACTTTCAGTGTCCTTAAAAAACGATGGATTATTATTATTATTATTACATGTTATGTCCAATATGAATCCATATGTTATACCTCATTTTAATGCCTGACTTCAGTCGATACAATTTGGTGATCTGGGTTGTGGGCCCCTGGATAAGTCTGGTGAACTAAAGTGGCCCTTTTAGTTCATCGCCAGCAAGAAGGTCCTGGGTTCGACTTTCTGTGTGAAGTTTGCATGTTCTCCCCGTGTCCATGCGGGTTTAAAACATTAGGTTTGAATGTAATGTCCATACTGTATGTAAAAACAACTTTCTTCCTAAAAAGTTTGTGCAGCCCTGCCCTACATGATCTTGATAGTGTCATGAAACGAGGGACTATCCACAAGTCGGAATTAGCATAATTCATGTTTTGCACTTTGTTCTAGATGAAATAAAAAATAGAAAATCTACTGTTTCTACATGACAACTGTTCCCAGATGTCTTCATTTCAGACGCACTGTAACTTTATTCATTTGTGGTTTGATTTTCATTACATACGAGGATCCTGTTTTTAATAAACCAAACATCTGTTCGGTCTGAAACTGTAAGTATTGTGCCCGTCGCCATGACAACGGGAACATTTCATATATTTGCAATAAGCTCTTGATCTCTGTGTGCGGCCAGAGCGTTTCAGAAGCTGGTTCAGCGAGTGACGTGAATGTGAAATCGTCCCAATGCTAAATCCTGTTCTGCATGAGCCCTTGTGTATAAACTATGTGCTATATTAATAATCCTGCTTATGATTGCAGCTTTCATAGTTGTTACTGTGTGACTGAGGATTTTACTGCAGCAGGATATTTTGGGGAGAAGTTAAAACATCAGAAGTTAAAGGTAAAACTGTATTCATTCAAACAGACACACGGTGAGTAGTAGTAGTAATCGTAATAGTAGTAGTAATGGGAGCAGTAGTAGTAGTAAATGTAATAGTAATAGTATTAGTAATAATAATAATAATAATACATTTTATTTAAAAGCGCCTTTCTAAACACCCAAGGACACTGTACAGAGCATAATAAAAACATTAAAAACAGAAGCAACAGAATAAAACAGTAAAGTACAATATGGAATGGTGGGTGGGTGTGTGCTAGGTGGGGTAGGACCATGGGGTAGGACCATGGGGTGGGTGATTCTCGCGAAATCAGACTTACAAGGTGGCATGAAGAATAAGATGAACAAAGTAAATGCAATGGAAATTATAATGATACATTTATAAACATGTCATCACAGGCTATGTTGCACATGATTTAAAGTGAACATTATAAAAATATTTTTATTGTTTTTTCCATATTTAATAGTAAATTTCTCATTACCGCAACGCGTCCATTACTGAATTTGAGAACTTTGATATACAATTTTTTAAACAAAAAAAATATGAAATGTATAAAGCATCAGTGCATGTTATACTATAAACAGTTACAATAAATAAACATGTGATATTGGGTATTCTTGTATAAAATAAGTTAAAGTTTTAAGGAAAATAACTTTGTCCACAACCATTTTTCTCATCCTCCGCAACAATTTTCAATAATCGTTTAAGTCCACAAGGAACTTACAAAATCAAAGAATTCTGAAGGGAGGAACATCATTTCCAGTGACACTCAAAATAGCTACCAGGTAAGCACCTCATTTTATTTCTCTCCAGATAAAAGTTAAAAGTTTGTTCATTACAGCAGCTACACGACTTTTCATTTCTCATTACCGATACGCAACGTTTTTAACATTGATATATTTTTTTTATTTAAAAATTCTTGTTTATTATATACTTCATTATGGTCCAAAAATAAACAGCTAGCTAAAGTTTAGCTAAGCCTTGTGGTGCCTTCGCAGACAGCGGAAAATTTCAAGGTCACTCATACTCCGCAACAGCATTATCATACACCGCAACAGTTAAAGGCATGTTGCGGTAGAGAGATTCACTGTTTCGGTAATGAGAAATTGATATGTTATACCAGGAATTAACACAGATTTTTTAAACACATTTATGAAAAACACTTAAATAACAAAATAATATAGCTTTTAATTATAAAGTATACCTGTAAACCTTCCAGCAGAGGTCATTAGTTTCAGTTGGCTCAGTTGGTAGAGCATTATTAGCCTTTAAGGCTAGAGGTCATGGGTTCAAGCCCACCACAAGACCTACTCCACCAACTCCCACTGATGTCTGCTGTTGTTGTATCCTTGGGCAAGACACTTTATCCCACTTTGCCTGAAGGCCCCTCTGAAAGACTAAGGCTATGCCATAGAGCTGTGCTCTGTGTAATGAGTGACATCTCTGGCCACCTTCCAACCCAGGAATAGATTAAGGGGAAGAAAATGGATGGATTATTTTACAGAATATTATGCCCCCCTGGACTACCACCTTAACGTGGTAAGGGAGTTTGAGTACTCTGATGATCCTGGGAGCTATGTTGTCTGGGGCTTCATGGTAGGGTCTCCCATGGCAAACAGGTCTCAGCTGATGAGTCAGACGAAGCGCAGTCCAAAACCCACCATGTATAGCATGTTATTGAGAATCGTGACGTCGCCCGGCATGGCGCAGCCGGGGCCCCACCCTGGAGCCAGGCCTGGGGTTGGGGCTTGTATGCGAGAGTCTGGTGGGCCTTAGCCCACGGGGCCCGGCCGGGCTCAGCCCAAAGGGATGATAGGGGCAGGCCCTCCTTTGGACCCACCACCCACAGAGGGATCCGTGGTGGAGAGGTGCTGAGAGGACTGGGCAGCAGTCGAAGGCGGTGACCTCAACGACCCAGTCCACGCACACAGCATATGGTTCTTGGGACGTGGAACGTCACCTCACTGGGGGTCACACACAGCTCGGGCACCGCAATCCAAATCCTCGAGAGGGGTTGGACGCTCCACTTTTCTGGTGTTTCTCGCGGGGAGAGGCGGCGAGCTGGGGTGGCCATTCTCATTGCCCCCCCATCTCAGCTCCACGTGTTGGAGTTCTCCCCGGTTAATGAGAGGGTCGCGTCCCTCCGCCTCCGGGTGGGGGACAAGTCTCTCACTGTTGTGACGGCCTACGGGCCTAACAGCAGTGCAGAGTACCCGCCCTTCTTGGAGACCTTGGGAGGTGTACTGGACAGTGCACCGCCCGGGGACTCCGTTATTCTCCTGGGGGACTTCAACGCCCATGTGGGAAATGCCAGTGACACTTGGGAAGAACGGCCCCCCTGATCTGAACCCGAGCGGTGTTCAGTTGTTGGACTTCTGTGCTAGTTACAGTTTGTCCATCACAAACACCATGTTCCAGCACAAGGGTGTCCACCAGTGCATGTGGCACCAGGACACCCTAGGCTGGAGGTCGATGGTCGACTTTGTTTTCGTATCATCTGACCTTCGACCGCGTCCGGACACTCGGGTAAAGAGAGGGGCGGAGCTGTCAACCGATCACCACCTGGTCGTGAGTTGGATCCGCTGGCAGAGGAGGAAGCCGGTCAGACCTGGCAGACCCAAGCGTGTAGTGAGGGTCTGCTGGGAACGTCTCGCTGAGCCTCCTGTCAGACGGACTTTTAACTCACACAACTCACTGGGAGAGCTTCTCCCAGGTCCCGGCGGAGGAGGGGGACATTGAGTCTGAGTGGACTATGTTCTCCGCATCTATCACCGATGCTGCAGCTCGCAGCTGTGTTCTCAAGGTCTCTGGTGCTGGTCCCAACAGCAGACCCCAAACCCGGTGGTGGACACCGGCAGTAAGGGATGCGTCAGGATGAAGAAGGAGTCCTATCGAGCCATGATGGTTCGGGGGACTCCTGAGGCAGCTGTCCAGTACCGGCTGGCCAAGTGTGCTGCGGCCCGGGCTGTTGCAGAGGCAAAAACCCGGGACTGGGAGGAGTTCGGAGAGTAAAGAGGTGCCTCGTCACGTCCTCTGGACCGGAGGGGGGTTTTCTTATGAGTTTTTCCTTGCCAATGCAGGAGGTTCTGTTGGGCAGTTAGTGTGCAACTAGAAGGACTGTGGTGATGATCCAGGACGTGACGACTTTAACATTCTAGAACAAGTATGAACATTTTTCAACATGTGTTCTATTTTTATTAAGTCCTCTGAGATTACTTCTGTTGTGATTTAGGGCTATACAAGAATAAATTGTATTGAATTGGGGGCAGAGGCTGAGGATGTCGGGGCGGATTCTTCCATCTCCCTGGCTGAGGTCACCAAGGTGGTTGGCAGCCTCCTTAGTGGCAAGGCTCCGGGAGTGGATGAGATCCGTCCTGACAATCTAAAGTCTCTGGATGTTGTAGGAGTGTCTTGGCTGACACGTCTCTGCAATATCGCAAGGCAATCGGGGGCGGCACCATTGGGGTGGCAGACCGGGGTGGTGGTCCCTCTCTACAAGAAGGGGGACCGGAGGGTGTGTTCCAATTATCGTGGGATCACACTCCTCAGCCTCCCTGGTATGGTCTACTCCAAGGTACTGGAGAGGAGACTACGACCGATGGTTGAATCTCGGATTCAGGAGGAGCAGTGTGGTTTTCGTCCCGGCCGTGGAACACTGGACCAGCTCTATACTCTCAATCGGATACTCGAGGGTTTATGGGAGTTCGCCCAACCTGTCCACATGTGCTTTGTGGACTTGGAGAAGGCGTTCGACCGTGTTC